CCACTCGCTGACCCTGAAGATATTGATTCATACACAAAAGAGCAACTGGAAGTGGTACAACTCAACAACAAAGCAAGAAATTTGCTTCATAATGCCATAAGCGGTGATGAGTATGAAAAAATCTCAAGCTGTGACGCAGCCGAAGAAATGTGGGACAAGCTTGAGGTTACATATGAGGAAACTAGCAAGGTCAAGGAAACACATATCAACATGCTAATTCACAACTACGAACTCTTCTCAATGAAATAAGGAGAATCTATTGAAGAAATGTTTGCCAGATTCAGCAAAATAATTAGAGATCTAAAGGCATTTGGCAAGCCCTATACCAGCGATGATCAAGTGAGAAAAATTCTAAGAAGTTTGCCAACTACCTGGCAGACCAAAGTAGTCACACTGGAATCTTAAGATCTGAACAAAATATCCTATGATGAACTAAGAGGAGAACTCATAGCTTTTGAAAGGACGCATCTGAAGAAGACCAATCAAGAAGAGAAAAAGAAAATAGTCGCATTTAAGGCCTCAACTGAAACAGCTGAAAACGAAATTGACGATGATCCTGAAGCTTTACAAGAAGAAATCGCTATGATGTCAAGAAACATAGATGGACTAATGAGAAGATTCCGGAACACAAAGAGAGGAAGAGTTCCACCAAGACGATCCATGCAATACAATGAACAGGAGAAAAATGATGGAAAATGCTACGAATGTGGTAGATTTGGGCACATTCAAGCAGAGTGCCCAGAACTAAAGAGAAAGATCTCTAGAGGTTTTAACAAGAACAAATCCTTCGGAAGCTGGAGTGATGAAGACACCTCAGATCATGAAGAAATAGCAAATCTCTGCTTCATGACAATTCTGGAAAATGAAATGAACAAATCCTCAGGATGCTGGACAGATGAGGACTATTCAGACGAAGAAAACGAAAACTGTTTTATGGCACGGGGTGAAACTAGTGAGGTAAGATCTTATAACTGTGAAAGGTGCAATGAATTGCAGGATATTCTTGATTTTAACTTTAAAAGAGTCTCAAAAAATGATGAATGAACTTAAAAGACTTACTAAAGAAGTCAAAGACTGGAAAATCAATCATGAAGTATGACGAAATTAGAAAAGGAAGTACTTCAAGAAGTAGTTTAGAGGAATTGACAAATGCAAACTCAATGGCA